TTAGTATAACCTGTCAGTATCAGAAAATGTAAGCAACCAATATCGACTAGAAAAACCTTTCAAGCGAGATATCTCAAAAACTGTGAATATTTGAATAGAACTATTCTACACAAAGTACCCTTTATTTTTTATGTAGAATCCGAAAAAAATATAAAAAATGTGTGTTTCCATTTAAAAAACCAAAGTTGGTGTCTGTCCAGGAAAAGTGGAACACCCTGTATAGTTGAATATATTTTTAATTTGTACATTCCGAGAAATGTGGCAACAGAATAAAAAGAAAAATCCATATATGCGCACGCGGCAGACTTGTCCTACGGAAAACATGTAAACAGCTATTATTGTTAAACATTTAGTAAATTTCAAGATAATTGTTTTCCAGTTTTTAAATAAATAAAATAAAATGTATCGATTTTGTAGTACGAAGATTGTGTTGCGCTTAAATTTTAGCTCGAATTATGGTAATTATGAATCTCTTAAAACAGGAACTTAACTTTTAATCAAGTTATGAATTTGAAAAATATGTAATTAAAGTNTACTCTTCAACTACAAGTCACAAGACAGTTATCTAGCAACTTCTTGTGGCCTATCTAAATACGAAACAAAAAGCGGACAATTTTTTGCTCACCAAAATCAGGCTAAAGAATTCGCAAATCAAAAAAAAACAGCGAATTCTTTTGAAGGAATTTACCAGTTATTTTGAAGAAATAACTACGATATTAAGTTCGCTTTTAATTAAAGATAACAAATATACAAACAATTGCTTTTTCAAAACGAAAACTTACGTTCTAGCTTTTACAGGAGCAAATTTTTGCACGACTCACATTCACCAAACCCAGTCTAAATAATATTTTCTGTAAGGTTTATTCGATAGTTTCAACTATATGTAAAGTCTTCTTATCACATAGATACGCCTTAAATCTTGTAATAAATTATTATATTCTATTAATAAGCAAACTATACAGGGTGATCCATTAACGTTGCGGAGCGACTGTATATAGGAAATTAGACGTGTTACGATTATAAGGTAAAAATCTATTGACAAATACGGCCAAGAGAAATCGATTTAAAATATTTTCAAGTATGTAACTTCACCGCTAGAGGGCGCACTGCTATCGTGTTACAGAAACTTGTCGTTTTTTCGAAATTTCGCTTATATAACCTAAGTTGAAAATACACTTTTTAAATACACTGTTAAACCCTTCACAAGTTTTGTTTGCACTTTTTTTTTGTTATTACAACAGCAATTCCAGTATAAAGGACGAAATCTTGAAATGTTTGATTTGTCATAACTTCTAAATGCCTTAGTCGATTTCAAGAAGCGACGGCTCATTTTAAAGAACTATTAATAAAATTTATTTTTATGATATGGGAATAAAAATATTATTTTCCTGCGCAACGGTAGGCGACGTTAATCAGAAAAGTTTTGAAATTGTCTCCGTTTACTAAAAAAATAAGTGCAACTATATAGGTTGATAGACCATTTATTAAGGAAAACAAATACACAAACCGGAAGTCGATATCCTTGTTCGTTTTCAAGTTATTGCTAAAATAGTGAAGTTGTGCTAGAAGATCCACCTTTATTTAGTTCTCTAAATAACATTGACATAGTCCAAGCCAAAAATAAATTGTAAAACTACCAAGCTTGTCTTTAAAAAAGTACTTGCCATATTTTGATGATTGATGATTTTGATTTTGAAATTGTTTTGATAACTGCAATGTTTTATTTTTTATTAATTCCAAATATCTGAGTAGTTACAAAAGACTATTGTTTCCATAACGAGGCAGGCTATGTCCTGTCACCCTGTAGAGATAATTATTTATCACAATGCACTTAAACAAAAAAAAAATTGGAGATAATTTACTTAAATGTACTTAAGTATTATTTTGTGGCATGAAATGTTCAATAGTCTTACAAACAGATCCAAGATAAAGTTTTTTTCAAGATAAGATATTAAAAAAAAAATTCGCATACAAAACACCGCTTAGCCTTTCAAATGGTTTTTGAAAAATTGAAATTGGTTGATTAGGTCAGTCACAGTAAATTTTTAAAGTTAACACTCTTTTTTTATTTTTAATTGTTTAAAAATAAAGAGTTAACTTTAAAAATTTACTGTGGCCGTCGTAAACAACCGATTCGAATTTTTGAAAAACTATTTAAAAGGTTGAGCGGTCTTTTCTATGTGAAAAATTTTTCAAGTATCTACATTAAGGTGGCCCAAAAAAAAAATTTTTTTTCGTGACTTGTGAAAATATGTTAGTTTATCATGTTTTAAGAGCCCCCTCACAAAAAAAACAACTCAAAAAAAAGTATTTTAGAGGTCGCTCAAGATTTTTTAAAATTTCCAAAATCGTAAAAAAAGTTTTTAATTTTTTTTCTTGTTTTTTTATCATTTTCTAGGCTGAAAAAAATCTATTCTGAAAATTTCAAATTGATATTTTAATTTCTAAAGGTCACTCATAATTATTTTAACTTTCAAAGTAGTGTATCTGTTTTCGAGCGACTTCTAAAAATAAATATCAACGAACTAATAATTTTTTTTATTAAATTTGATTAACAAAAGAATAGAAATAAATCACACTTCAATTTTAAAAAATTGAAAAATTATAAATATTTGTACTCACAATGCGGTAGTGTGACACATTTTTAAGTGTCTCGTGATTTATTTATATTCTTTTGTTCATCAAATTCAATAAAAAAAAATATTAATTCGTTGATATTTATTTTTAGAGGTCGTTCGAAAACATTTTAGGTACACTACTTTTAAAGTTAAAATAATTATGAGTGACCTTTAGAAATTAAAATATCGATTTGAAATTTTCAGAATCAAGNTGAAACCTCTAACGTCCTGATATGATTCCAAGGGTACACATCACAACCCTGAAGCTTATTTTTGAAAAATCCATGTATACAACATACAGCTCAACATTTTTATTCATACCACTGGAAATGAAATGCTCAAAAGGAGCGACAATACCGATATTTGTCTTTCAAGGCACATATTTGACTATGTTTTTAATGTAATATTCTTGACAATGGAAGAAAACTGCAAATATCTGAGAAAATCGAAACTGTAAAACCTACAATGCCTGTATCGGTGAAGAGAGAAATTGGTTTTCTATAATATGGTGCAAAAATACAGGGTGTTCCGTTTTAATTTTAAAAGTTTTGTCGGTTTTAGGATTTCAAAATGTAACCTTAAATATAGGATACCTACTTAGTACAATTTTCTTCAGGTAATTTTGATGTGCAACGTAGTGCATCTTATGTCCTTTGTGTTTTCCGAAAAGCAAGTGAAAGTTTCCAGAACAAAGAAAGATAGAAGGAATTTCCGAAAAGCTTGCGACGGTAAAAATGTTTTCACCGGGTCCCTGAAATATTCTAATAGTCCGTCATTATAAAACAGCCTGTATTTATGAGCAATTTACATCCACTCGTCTGCAACTCGTAGACAAGATGAAGATGGTTGAGCTATAGTATGTTTCACCAAAAAAAAACTACGATATTAAGTACACTTTTAGTTAAGTGACAAATATACAAACACTTGCTTTTTTCAAAACGAAAACTTACGTTCTAGCTTTTACAGGAGAAAATTTTTTGCACAACTAACTTTCACCAAACCCAGTCTAAATACTTAATATTTTCTGTAAGGTTTATTCGATAGTTTCAACTATTCTTATCACATAGATACGCCTTAAAATATTATATCCTATTAATAAGCCAGCTATACAGGGTGATCCATTAACGTTGCGGAGCGACTATATATAGGAAATTAGACGTATTACGATTATAAGGTAAAAAATCTATTGACAAATACGGTCAAGAGAAATCGATTTAAAATATTTTCAAGTTTGTAACTTCACCGCTAGAGGGCGCAACTGCTACAGTGTTACAGAAAAATGTCGTTTTTTTCCAAATTTCGCTTATATAACCTAAGTTGAAAATACACTTTTTAGATACACTGTTAAACCCTTCACAAGTTTTGTTTAAACTTTTTTTTGTTATTACAACAGCAATTCTAGTATAAAGGACGCCATCTTGAAATTTTTAAGTTGTCATAACTTCTAAATGCCTCAATCGATTTCAAGAAGCGGCGGCTCATTTTATAGAACTATTAATAAAATTTATTTTTATGAAATGGGAATAAAAATATTATTTTCTTGCACAACGGTAGGCGACGTTAATCAGAAAAATTTTGAAATTGTCTCCGTTTACTAAAAAATTAAGTGCAACTATATAGGTTTTTTCACATGACTTGATAGACCATTTATTAAGGAAAACAAATTCACAAACCGGAAGTCGATATCCTTGTTCGTTTTGAAGTTATTGCTAAAATAGTGAAGTTGTGCTAGAAGATCCTCCTTTAGTTCTCTAAATAACATTGACATAGTCCAAGCCAAAAATAAATTGTAAAACTACCAAGCTTGTCTTTAAAATAGTACTTGCTATATTTTGAAATTCTTTTTGATAACTGCAATGTTTTATTGTTTTATTAATTCCAAATATCTGAGTAGTTACAAAAGACTATTGTTTCCATAACGAGGCAGGCTATGTCCTGTCACCCTATAGAGATAATTATTTGTTATCACAATGCACCTATACAAAAAAAAATTGGAGATAATTTACTTAAATGTACTTAAGTATTATTTTGTGGCATGAAATGTTCAATAGTCTTACAAACAGATCCAAGATAAAGTTTTTTTTAAGATAAGATATTAAAAAAAAAATTCGCATACAAAACACCGCTTAACCTTTCAAATGGTTTTTGAAAAATTGAAATTGGTTGATTAGGACAGTCACAGTAAATTTTTAAAGTTAACACTCTTTTTTTATTTTTAATTGTATGTGAAAAAATTTTCAAGTATCTACATTAAGGTGGCCCAAAAAATTTTTTTTTTCGTGACTTGTGAAAATATGTTAGTTTATCATGTTTTAAGAGCCTCCTCACAAAAAACAACTCAAAAAAAAGTATTTTAGAGGTCGCTCAAGATTTTTTAAAATTTCCAAAATCGTAAAAAAAATTTTTAATTTTTTTTCTCGTTATTTTATCATTTTCTAGGTTGAAAAAAATCTATTCTGAAAATTTCAAATTGATATTTTAATTTCTAAAGGTCACTCATAATTATTTTAACTTTCAAAGTAGTGTATCTATGTTTTCGAGCGACCTCTAAAAATAAATATTAACGAACTAATAATTTTTTTTATTGAATTTGATGAACAAAAGAATAGAAATAAATCACGAGACACTTCAATTTTAAAAAACTGAAAAATTATAAATATTTGTACTCACAGCGCGGTAGTGTGACACATTTTTAAGTGTCTCGTGATTTATTTATATTCTTTTGTTCATCAAATTTTATATAAAAAATTATTAATTCGTTGATATTTATTTTTAGAGGTCGTTCGAAAAAATTTAGGTACACTACTTTTAAAGTTAAAATAATTATTAGTGACCTTTAGAAATTAAAATATCGATTTGAAATTTTCAGAATCGAGATTTTTTTCAACCTAGAAATGGATAAAATGCCGAGAAAAAAATAATAAAAAAATTCAATTTTTGACGATAATTTTCAAAAATGTTGAGTGACGTCTAAAAAATTTTTTTTCAGCTGATTTTTTTTGGGGGCTCTTAAAACATGATAAACTAACATATTCGTTTTTTTGGGCCACCCTAATCTAGATGCTTTGTTTGAGGCTGTGCAACATTTTGAAAATTCAAAGTTTTTTTTTCAAGAAATTATTTTGCGAGAACTATCGAACGGATTTTAATGAAATTTGGGGTGGTTTTATTATACTCTAAAATTTTCTTTACCAAAATTAGAATGCCCTCGGAGTAATTAAAATATTAAAAAAATATATCCAAGAAACTTGATTATTTTCCCTTTTTTTCATCAATTATTGTTATTTTGCAACATCAGTAATAGATTAAAACATTTTTAATTTACAGTATATTGTGCAAAATTCAATTCTAAAATTATTTTCCCCTTCAATATTCTTCCAAAATGCATAAGTTCCGAGACATAATTAAAAAACTCAGATAAAATAGGTATTTTTTAAAATTTTTTAAACATTTTTGCAATTTTGAAAATGTTCCGGACCTCGCCCAAATCTAGACGTACACTTTTATTATGCGAGTTGTACTGAAGGTAATCCAGAAAAAAATTTGCTTGCCCCCTCTCACCTCAAAGCAGATCCGCCCTGGTTTGTTATCCTAATCAGCCCGACCAAAATTGTTCTCTCGATTATTTGCAAGATTATGCACGACACTTTTAATACCTGTAATGATCCTCAATTTACATTTTTTTAAATTGAAAAATCGCCAATTACGCTGTGATAAAATCAAATTTTGAGATATAAACGTTTCTTATTGTAAGGACATAGAACACTTTTATTGTTACTAATGTCATTAAAATACAACAATTTGTAGATAAAATTAATAAAAACAGTTTACTATCACCAGAGTCTCCAGCTAATTTTTAAAAATGTAGGGAAAACTAATGAATCAATCTTGTAGCATAAGTATTAAATATTTTTAAAAATGAAAATTCGGTAAATAATACATACCTGATTGAAGATATGCAGTAGATTAATTCGAATGCCATCAATTTTTCAATTGTAACGAAACAACTAAAATTATATTGCACTTGTAAAGAAAAGCGTTGATGTATATTTAATGGAAACCTTTTACTTTATCATCAATATTTATAATCAATCCACGTGCCTATAAATATTTAAGACTACTCTGGAACTGTTATCTGTCCTCACATAAGAACACTAAAAACTATTTGTAATAAATTTCATAGACTTTATCAAAGAAAATAGTAATATCTTATTGTCTAAAATAATTGTTTTCTCAAAATTACAATATATTTTGATAAACTGTAATTAGATACAGGGTGTTAAAAAAGAGTGTAAAATATTTAAGGAGGTAATAGTATGAACCAAAATAAGCAGAAAAGTCTTAATAAACATGGGTCCGCAAAGTAACTGTTGCGGAGANCAGTCCATATCTCCGCAACCGTTACTTTGCGGACCCATGTTTATTGAGACTTTTCTGCTTATTTTAGTTCATACTATTACCTCCTTAAATATTTTACACTCTTTTTTAACACCCTGTATACTTAATTCGAACATAGAAATAATAAGGTATTAAAACACATATTTTTTTAAAATTTTTTCATTACTACCTTAAATTTGGAGACAATGCAATCACAGTCTGAGCAAAGCGAAGGCTCCTTCTTTGGCTAAACTGAGCGATTTTTAGGTCATTTTTTTCTCTAAATACAGGGTGAGTTTTTTTCGATGTTTGGTGTAGGGATCTGAGAAAGTAGCAAAATACAAAAAAGTTGAAATGAGGAAAGATATGCAGTTTTATGATACTTATTAAATGTTACTTTTATTTTTTGAAAAAACGTCATGGCTGACTAGATGTTTGGAAAAATCCAAATTCGGTCAATTCCTTCAGATGCGTGTAGCTCCGTTGCTATTTATTTTACAAAAAAAAAATAAATTACAAGGTTTCAGGTTTTTGCAGTGTTAATAAGACTGTGTGATCGAATTGTTCGTGTGGACTTTTATTTTCAAGTTATAACATAAACTTCAAGTTCTTTAAATGTAAACCATAGTTGGCTATGAACTAAAAAAATTTCTTTTTTTATGGTTTCCAACGATATAATATTTGGTATGGTTATTTTGAAAAATGGGGGAACTGCAGCCGTTTATGTCTATGGCTTACATTTAAAAAACTTGAAACTTGAACTCGAGGACACTACATAAAAAAACTACCCAATCGACCACTGCAATGTAACTATAAAATTAATAAAGACTATCGTACTTGTATCACTTTATTTATGTATCTATTTGAAATAAAATATGCAATAATATATCAATATGACGGAAATGGTATAGCTTGACCGAATTCATCGAGCATCAGATGTGCGTGACACTTGCTCTTGTCTTCGTCTCTCCTAGGTAGACTCCCTTCTTCTGCGCATCTGTCGGACAGGATGGATTTGGTCAACTTGTATCTATTTAAACCTTCTCGATCTTCAACCAAATACCTCCAATGGGAGAGGTAAACTTTTCGTGTGGATTCATTTTCAAAGGCAATTTAGTCTTCTCGCTTAAAGTAACTTTAAAGTCCTTCAAAATGGATGTCAGACCGACTTTAGATTGTAGAATCCCAAATCTTTCACCTGAAAATCAATGATTAATAAGTACACTATCCACTTGTTCTCTCAGCCCTCAAAGGGGGTGGGGGGAGTTCAAATAGAGCGGAGAGAAAAAATATGAATAGTTTTCAATTTGCAAATTGGCCAGTCATATTCACGTCAAGACGTTTCAAAACATCTTATCTTGATGAGTCCCTTCTTGAGAAAAAAAAAACAATATTCCTTTCTGGACTCTGATGACCTGCGGTTTAGTAAAATCAGTTTTTTTGACCACAAGAATCTGGCAGCTTGTAAAACCAATGCAGAGGGGTACCCTGCACAGTCACGGCACTTACCAATACACACTCTGGGTCCTTCCCCAAACGGCAGATGGGCGTAGGGATGCCTGGCCTTTTTGTTCTCCGCACTGAACCTGTCGGGGTCAAAAACTTTGGGATTCTTGTAGTGGTCTTCGTCATAGTGTATACCTGATGCAGGTATAAAGACCATGGTGCCTTTTTCTAAGATAAAGTCTTGACCAGGTATTTTGTAGTCTTCGGCACTTTCTCTTGTCAAAAGTGGAAGCGGAGGGTACATCCTGAGGGTTTCTGGAAAAAACAAGGTCATGTTTATTGTCATTTTTATATGCGTCTGTCGCTGTCTGTAGACCGTAATTTCCACGTACAGACAGAATAAGCAAGAGAAGCGTTTGTAACATTTCCAACGAAATGAACTATTGCTAATGGTGAAATGAAACTCTCTCTCAACGGTAAATAACAAGTATCTCTTATTAAATAGAAAAGGAAATAGAAATGTTGTCTGGGCAAGCGTTCATTGGAGACTCCTCTTGTAGGGTCGCTAGCAGGTATCAGTATCCAGTCCCTGGTACACACCTGCACAGTTCGCTGGCCCTTTTCCTGGAACCACAGTGTGTGTCCCGCGTTCCTGATTTTCGACGGTTTCTTGTCGCTTGCAATCGTCAGCTAACCAATATTCTTTATAGGCCAAGAAAAAGAGCAGGGAAATGACCATTTCGCGACTTTTTGTTTCGGCAAGCTGAATTTATCACTATAGATGCTAAATATTATGTACAATAACATATTAGCTTCCACAGTC